AAATGCTTCCATCGCTGAACATCTGCGATAAAGTATGTGATAATTTGTCGATATTTTCTAATCGAACTGACTTTACAAAGCAAGAATTCCTCTGTTTTCCAAAAAATACTGGAAAATTATTCCGAGTAATTGCCGATAATTTTTCTTTTTCGTATTTTTTTTGAGCAAGTTGAAAGCAGTTTTCTTCTCTAACATTTTGAGACAGTTTAAATTCTTGGCATTTTACACGCACCAATAATATGCATTCCAATGGTCACACGGTTAAAGCCTAATTTTGAAAATTCCTAAAAATTCCGAAAAATGCATGCACGAAAAATTGCTGTGCACAAGTACAAGCATTTTATGAATAATCATCACAAACAATCATGTAATATTTCAGCTGTCTGTTCGAATGGATGAACGCGGCATCTTATCCATACAGTTTATGATTGAACAAACTGAAAATGCTCATACCTTCCTCGAATTTTACGTGAGTTCTATTAATTTTTATGCATTTTTGCTGTGCAGCAGCGCTGTAGCGCTGCTACAGTGAGCAGAAACACATACTATCGAGTGTGTGTGTGTGTGTGTGTTCGGAAGCGAGTGAACTTTGTCACTCACTTTCACTTCAGCAACTAGAAAAGCTGAGAGACTGAGATTTTGGGGCCATATTCCCACCCCATGTATCACCCTTTCTTTTTAAAATCTCCGCTCATACTCGTCGAGATCCCGCGTAAGGAATGCCGAGAAAAATATGCAAATTTCTTTGGTGGGGAACGATTTCGTGAACTAGACAAGATGGGAAGCTGAAACTTTGCAGGGGTATTCTCTGTGCATATTGGAGCTAAAGGTTTCAAATTCAGCTATTACACACGCTTATACCACGCGTACTGTATCATCTAAGTTCGCAGTTGGGCACTGTGTTAATTCGAAAACTAGCTGAAAAACAGTAGCTGAAATTTTGTCAGAATATTTATTGTTCATGTGGAAAGTCGTGTACTTAAACTGAGTTTCGATTTGCACTTACCCCCACGACCTAGGACACTTCAAAAATATTTGTAGTGAAGTGGCTGTTTCGCTTACCGGACAAGCTGCGAAGCTGAAACTTTGTAACGATATTCTATATTCACGCTTGTTCTAAATTCAGCATGGAGGTGGGATTCCCTGGACGCAGACTTGAAAAATAATTTTATCGCAAGCTCGAAAGAGAGTGCATTTTACAGATTTCGTAATCCTTCCTCAACTTCCTTCAAATTTGCATTTTTTTTTCCCGACGAACGAGCATTCACCAGAAAATCGACCGGGCTTTATGCAAAAAACTGATAGTCATGCACGCTGAAGGTCGGTGTGGGCTCAGAATGCAACACCTTCATCCCAGCTGATGCCGTATCCCTCTGCATTCGGGAAGAGGTTAAAACATAG